GAGTACTTAACAAAAGAGGGACAATGGGACGTCCACGATCGACGGTGAACACACGTTTGTGTGTCTTGGGCCTTTCAATCTCCGTGTTGGACCCAGAACACAGAGATTTCAGCAACCCTTTTCACACTAGCAGAAATCCTGCATGGCTTCTGCATTGGTTTGGTGCTCTACACAGGTGGAATCCAACCCCTGGTTGGGACCAGGATTGGGAGGTTGAACTACACGGAAAGAAAATCCTATATCTATAGCTAACTTGTGTACGTAACGTTGTAAGTGTAAATGGTTATTGGTATGCCTTGCCTACCAGTGCAATGTTCGATGGGACACGGTTTCACTTAGGGTCGACCGTTTTCAACATGGGTGAAGGAGACAGTAGTTGGAAAGGTGACTGCTCTATGTTCCGACACCCCTATGTTCCGACAACCTAGATTGTGTTACTCCCGGTTAGGGTGAGGGTTAGGGTTAGGAATAGGAATATGTGCAGTCGGAACATAGGGGTGTCGGAACATAGAGGTGTAACCGTTGGAAAAGGCCTTGTCGTGCACTCTGGTATGACTGAATTTCAAAGTTCAGGCATATTTCTGTGTCAAACCAATCGGAAAATAGAATCTCAGTGATACATTACATTCATTGTATGTTCCAAACATCTTTTGAATTTCTGTACAGTGTGCACACACCTACCCACACGAATGTATAGACTGGATCAGATTTGTAGATACATTTTTGTAAATACACAAGGTGTTGGGTCTGTGCGCTCAGTGAGCTGTGATCAGCATGATATCTTTTTGATGATTATTAACTCCAGTAAATCCGTGCCAATTTGTTCCCACTTGCAGCCAACTTGCATTAAATCAGGCAATAAATATAAAGGAAAAAAACCCCAAATCATTGTCAGAATCGATGTAGGTCCATTGTATCTCACTGTGTGGACTGATCTACCCAAAAGTATTTTTTTTTTTTAATCTTGGGGCTATTCATGATGGTAGTATGGACACTCCCCAAGGACTATGCCACGCTAACTCCTCATGAATTCATAGCACGCTTTGGCTTCATATTTCTTACTGGTAATGAAATAGCTGTCATCATCAATAACCGATAATGGGGCATTGGAGAGGGGGGGGGGGACTGACACTGGCCTCAGTAGGTTCAGTGAAGCCTGTCGCAACTCAAAAGCCCATCATCGTTTCGGGTTCCCGCATACACCGTCGATCGGTCAGCTCTATCTGCCGTGTGCCGCATTGAATTGAGCCGGTCATAGTCCATTGACTTCTGATTACAAATGGAAATGTACGTGTAGATGTGATGATGCGCACACACTGCTTGTGCCTACCGCAGACCTGATTTTCAATTCTAGTCGCGACCGTGGCCTGGGGTCCAAGGCACGATACAGACAGGCATTTGCAAGCGCCGAGTCTCGAGACGTGTTGATGAGGGGCAAGGAATGAAAAAATAAAAACAAGTAAAGCAAAATCACCTGCGTGCATGAAGTTGCCCCCGCACACAGTGAAATGTCAGTATGTGCGGAAACACGTGTTGGTACGACGTTAGTCCTCCAGTTTGTTGTTGATACCGTATGACTCTCTTGTCTTGGACATGAGGGTGTCGCGGACATGTACGGACACTATTGCGTACTTCCATCATTCATGCAGGGAAAGTTTGGTGTTGGGGGGGGGGGGGAAGGAGGGGAGATTCGGGAGAACCTTGTAAAAATAGCCGCAGATGCAGTTGTTGGTGAGATGAATTAATCTTTCATTGTTTTGGAATTAGTATGTGATCATAGCCAAGCTGTGAATGCCGACAACATGTAAGTCTTGTTAGTTTTGCGTGTTTGGAGATCTGCGTAGAAATATTCCTCAATCTCCATACATGTAGTCATTAAGGACGTCAAATAATTTGATATAGAAAAAAAGAAAGAGAATTTGTTGGCAGGATTAACTAATTTTAAAACTGGATGAAATTGTCAGTGAAATTAAGCGGGAGATAAAATGTAATAAACCCTTCACCAATGTTTAAGCACAATGCCAACACTGTATTCTCAGTGCTGTGCAAGTGCTACAAGAAGAAAATTCCAACCAAGAGGTATTAAAAAATGCATTTCAACTAATGTTATGTAAATTTCAAATTTGTTAATTCTGTTCAGGTAATCTATGGAGAAGTTTAATTTCAAAGTGTGTTTTCTAATATTGTGCTTTGAGGAAATAATGCTTGTAGGAAATAATGCATGTTGACAGTACCAATGTGTGTCATATTGTTGGGTCACTATTTTTAAAAAGAGAAAAAAATAAACATCTCTCAACAAACTTTAGGTCTTTTCACCCGATTGTCTGGCCTACCATGTTGAAATGAACATGAGCCTGTCGTAAGCAGGACCGGGTATCATCGAACAACAAGGCCGTTCATCTTTGCCGTATCCCAATTTATAATGTTTGACTCGCCAGCAAGGCTACTGAAGGAATAGTTTGACTAGCCATCCGCTGTTTTCACTGGTATTTGGCTAGCATGCTACCGCTAACGTCGAACCCTGCTGGAGTGCTAAATGGTAACACATAGCAACCAGTGAAAACGCATGTGCTAATGAAAAGATGTTTGCACTGGGTGACATCATCCCGCACTGCCTAAGTATAATTCAGTCCCAGCCAAAACAAAGTGGAATATGTGCAAGTACCGTAGTTGATGCAGTCTCAAGCACAATGGTGTTGTCTGGTTCAACAACACTCAAGTGAGCTGTGTTGTTTTTTGTGGCTGTCTAAGATAAAACTAGACTTCAGTGTCAACCACCACACAAAAAAAGATGTATGTTCAACAGGGGATAAAAGCAATGTTAACGTCTTGTTAGATGATTAGTGCATGTACTTCTGGTCACAATGCGATACACCTACTGCTGATGGTACAGTACTTGTATAGTGTTGTGGTTTTTTTTAAACCCGTTTAAGGAGCCTGGTCTGTGTTTGCACCAGTTTGGGAGACTAATGTTCACAATGTTGGTTCATCGTCTCCAGACTTGTACAAATATGACACCTTTTCAACTAGCTTGTAACCAAACCTCCCACAGGGTCCTTCACGGTTTTGTTTTCTTTAACACCCACTTTTGCTGGCTTCTTGGCAAACCAATTGCATCCACTTCAGACATCTTGTAAAGAACTTATAAGAAAGGAACAAGTCTTTGACATCAACTTGAGAAGAGCAACTGGCGCCTGTAGACACAGTCTCTGAGACATTCCTGCTCCCCTCTCCATCCGGAAAAAACTGAGACAATCCCTTTTCATCTGTAAAACCTCGCATGTTGAACACTGCATCGTACATTCTATTCTTAAGAAACAAACATTTTTATAAACATTTCACTTGATATGGAGATGAATGATATTCAGTGGTTGTGTGTGAATTTTGTACATGAAAGATTAAAGAGTTTAGTGTGCCGGTATTGTTGAGAATTTATGAAATTCATTTGTTTGTAGTCCTGTCCTACTGAATGCAGCTCAAAGTTTCACTGAATTTCTATATTTTGGTTTTACAGTCCTCCCACCTCCAAATTTTGGCAGTTTTGGTGAAAGTTTGATTTTTTCCCGCCTGGTTTAATATCACATAAATATGTTACTGCAATAAATATGCATTTTAATCAAATTTATCTTAAATATTTGAGTGCAAAGTTCCCCCCCCCCCAAAAAAAATAAAAAACCACAATGCTCGCTGTCTTGTTTTTAAGTCAGATGTCATCAGACTGAGGACATCTTCAGTTCAGGACTTTCAGGACACTTGGCCGTTTTCTGCAGCATTGCTTTTTGTTTTGTAACATTTTAGTGTGCACCAGACATTCTTTATTATAAAGCAGAAGTTGTTGGTAACTTTAGCAGGTACAACACTAGCTAACTTAATTTATTTTTGTATTTCAGGGAAAGTTGGGCTTCATAAGAGTTTCACCCTATTGGTGTGTCTCTGTCATTCAGTAAATTCTGCCTGTAAAGTTTGCATGCATTTTACTGCGCTGTACTCTCTTACAGTCTTTGTGAAATTAACTTTGCTGATGTGCTTACTCTCTTACAGTCTTTGTGAAATTAAAATATGAAGAATTGCAGGTTAGCTTCTCCATGAAATTGGAATGCAGTTTCTATGCCTCTCAGACACATAGACAAACTCTCTCCAATAGTCAATCCCCTCTGCCCCCCCCCCCCCGTATGTTTGTGCAACCTTGTCAAAGCCAGAACGCATACTACTTCACAAGATCCCAAACAATGCAATCCAAACCATTACGCCATATCACTTCAAGAGATAGACTACCAAAATCCCTGACGAAATAATCCTCCCTTTGAAATTTTTTTGGGGGTTCAGTGTTGTCACAAAGCTCTGAGTTTTGAAATATGCACTAATCCTGTCAATACACATGTCAGGTATGTCAAGCCAGGCTGGACAAATAGGAACACAAGGTTTGAACATGGATCAGAGGGGATTATATCTTAAGGGAGGACAACTTGGGGTATTAATCCCCCAACAATAGAGTCAAATATGAACGTCTTGTTGAAGTAGAACATGGTAACCCACCTACCATTTGCCAGGTAAGCAACTCCAGGGGATTGGTGTAGCGACTGTAAGGATTTGTTCTTTTATGTTAATTTCTTCACCAGTAGTTTTTTGGGGGAGGGCTGGTCAACCAAATTCAGCGAGAATTTTTTAAATTTTTAAGGGGGGGGGGAATCAATTGTTTTTTCAGTTTCTATTTTCATTTGAACATTTTTCAAATTGTCATTTTCATGGCTTCTGACTAGCACTCTTGCACTAAGACTCTGACAAACTTGGGAACCGCCAACATATAGGGCTTGAGTGTTCAGTTGGTTGAGCACCGGAACGGCAATCCAGAGGTCCAAGGTTCAAACCCCACTCCAGTCAATTACTTTGTTGAATATGTAATTAAGTTTCAAGTTATGAATTTAATAAGAGCATCATGTTCCCATGTACATGGATTTATGAGTTCAAAATCTAAAGAGCTTTTTGTTTTCATGTTGTAGGGAGGGAGTCTACTTTTCGCCCCTCGGTTATTGGAATGGGCACTCACCTGTTCACCCCCGTTTCCTTCAGTGCCACCTCCGTCCACGCCCCTACTCCATCAAGGTGTGTCTCCTAACTTATTACTCAGACCTTCAAGTCTCCAACCGGTATTAGGCAATGCTGGCATGGCTACAGATAAAACTTTCGCGCAGGTATGTGTAACTCGAGATAATCCCCGTAATTCCATCTGATTGTCAAGATTACCTAGATATACTGGATTCGGGCACCTGTGATTTCCGTTGTTCAACCATTACGATAAGACCTATATAGTCTAATGTAAGCTGTGGGCTGTTGCCCGATGGTTTAAGCCATGCCCGCATACAGCGCGCCATGTGCAAGTGGTCGTGTGCAGAGAAGGCGTTCGGTTCAGCGTGTTGTTCAGATGCCTGGCTACTTACTTTATATGCTTCAGTCCTTAGTTTTTAAGAAGAACAGTAGTCCTGTGGTCCGATGGTTACGGTGTTCGACTCGTGTGCTGTGGTACGTGGGTTCGAACCCTGACGGTGAACATGGTGCTTGTGTTCTTGGGCAACATTTGCCTCTCCAAGCAGGAGTATAAATGGGTACCTGTGAAGGTAGAGACTAGAATGCGCTGATCTCGAGCTGCTGCAAAAAATGGTCTCATGGCCTGATGAACAGGGGTAATAATTGTGAAGCGCTTTGAGACCTTTGGTATAAAGTGCTATATAAAAGCACCACATTATTTTTTTTACTATTATTAAAGATTTTTTTTCCATGTCATAAAAAGAAACATTCTGGATACTCCATGATTTTTTTGTCTGCATTCTGGGGAAGCATGCTAAAATTACACACACACTCCCAAGTGTGTATTTGCCTGCAATCGGGGACCCCCTATTGTCCCTATTTTGTTTGTACCTTAACTTTTTAGGAAGACCTCCCATATGTTTTGCACACGAATCCAATTGGAATTGGGGACCCTATTGTCCTCTGTTGTTCAACATCCCCTATTGAATGCAGAAACAAACTCACACACCCAAGCGCGTTCACACTATCGATCGTGGACGTCCTATTGTCCCTCTTTTGTTTGTACTTTTTAGGAAGACTCCCATAGGTTTTGTACATGACCCCAATCGCGGACCTATGCTGGGAATCGTGGACGATATTGTTCTCTTTTGTTCTCTGGATTTTCTTTTCCACGGTTTGAATAGATGAACACGCCCACACATTCTAACAGTCAATTACAAGAATGCAAAAACAATTTAAATACACGTACCGGTACATCAACTTTAAAGTCCTGGTTTAGGTAAAAACCCAGTGGGGAGCTAGTTTGTCTGTTGACCAACCAGTATCATCATTTGTGATATCATCCAGCTGTTAATCCCTGAGGTTTTATTGTCTAACCATTAACACCTTGTTTCCCTACTTGTTGACATTGTCAGCCAGTTGTTAAACTATTTATCGGATTATTGCTGATTATCATTAATGTTTAAACTGATTACTTGTGTGGAATGCTTGTTGTTCAAACAACTTCACAGTGTGAATATCAATTGGCATGTTGCAGTTGGTCTTTGTGAGGATTTGGCATAATCTTCGCATTATTCTTGTTAGTCCCTGTGCTGCCCCAAAGTGCCCAAGTTCTCTGTGGTTGTATGAATTCATCAGTGAATAAAGACAATGTAATACAATGTAATACAATGTAATACAATGTAATACAATGTAATACAATGTAGTATAGTTGGTACAGTTTCTAATATGGGTATTGAGGTTTAAGGCATTTATGATGCGAACAGTTCAGGTTGGGTGTGCAACTTGAAGGTTACATTGAAGTAAAGTCTACCCCCTGCTCTTAAACATGTTAGATTTTTCCCCTTCTACATGTCACTAAAAAAAAAACACCCTTTTCTATTTTATTTTGGGTTGCAATTGCACCCATACTGCACAAACTATGTCTCATTAAAAAAATTAATAACTTTCGTATTTCTAGAAAATAAAGCAGTTTAAAAACCGAATCTACTTTTTGGGTAGAAAGTCTAAAATAGATTGGGGATAACAACTTTAACGTTCAAAATGTGATTTGTACCCCAGAAACTTCAGTTTTATAGCATTGGTTACCATTTTCCAGTCAGAGGCTTGATATTAAATTTGAAGTCAGGAGCCGGAGCCAAAACCAGAGACAAAACCAAGGTTTGGAAAAGGCCACATATTGTCACCGACATCACGAAGTAACACTCTACCGTGTTAAACCATATTTTTTTTCGATTTCCAGTCTTTTGGGTTTTTAAACATTATTCATCAAGGCCTACCATTGCACGAAGTTTCGAAGCTTCAAGAGCTTTACTTTAATAATTACGCTAAGTATCCATGGCGACTTTTGCGCAAAAGTGACAATTTTCGTTTTCATGAAGTAACACTCAAGTTCCATTTACCATTGCAATGCATGGCGCGCACTCTGCTCAAATGCGAGCAAAAACGTTTTCACGAAGTAACACTCTTGTTGTTTGAGCACGCGCACGCTGACCTCCGTTTCCACGAAGTAACACTCTTCTAGTGTTGTAATACATTGAAGCGTGCTACTTTGTGAAAACGAAATTTTACAGTTTCGCAGCTTTTTTGGTTTCACGAACTAGCACTCATCTTTTTTTCTCTTATTTGTTGTTGTTTTAATACACAAATGGGTCAAAAACAGCAAATTTAATAACATCAATACATCAAGTGTCTACAACGAGAAACTTAACTGAAAATACTCTGTAGTTTTGACGCAAAGTGTTGTTCTAGAAGGCGTTCAACTTTAGATGCCGTTTTCTCCGATTGCTAATTTTTACCGGTATGAGTGTTACTTCGTGGTGTCGGTGACGATATGTAAGGCCACATGTATACGAATTACGGTAGACAGTAACAAAGTTGCTTCAGCAGCCTCCGTAGGTTGTACATGTTCACATGTAAGGCGGCATCTGAATTGCGGCTACGGCTAGCAGTTACGCATGTTTCTATGGGAAATAGCTTCCATACAGGTACATGTAGGTGTAATGTGTAATTGAAAGCCATCGCTGATTACATCTACATAGGCCTATATAGTTTGGACGCGGCTTAAGTGTGAATAAACCCACCCTGGATGCAAGAAGTTTGAACAGTTCATTTCAAGGCCCCCCCCCCCCCTCCTTTAAGACACTCTTAAAGCCCAAGCCTCCATTCCGACGCCTTCTTCTACATCCTGAAGTATCCTCACTAGAACCATAGCTATAGAACCATCACAGGGCTCTGTTTTGTATCAAAGAAACAATGCCGACCAGACCCTCTTCAAGAAGCCAATTTCTTTTCTTGAGACAACTAGACAAGGGAGATTACAGAACAAAGCCCTGTCCGATTCTGGAGGACTTTATTGTCTGGACTTGTAATTTTTTACCCAAGGTAACCGATTTAAACCACGGACCGGACATGATATATGTGCACTTTTGTCAATGTGGAGGATAAGTGATATCAAATGACCATGGATTTTATGTAGTACCACAGGTACATGAATAGGCAGGAATTTGGGACATTAAAGGATGAGTGCCAGTTGGACTTTGTTGTTGCTGTCCTGGCAGGTTTTGGTTGGCGTTGCCCCAGCGACAATTTCACACCTTGGTTTTTTTTTTTCCTAGTTTGGATTATCCATTATCCCAGACAGGGATAGATGCCTGATGCCAAGAAGTCTGTCTCTATAATAAGAAACTGTCAATGGTCATTCAGTGTATTTTGTCAGGGCTTGGTAATTGATGTTTGGTGCAGGAATGTAATGTCACTTGTATAAGTGCTGACTTGGTGGGCTATCAATCGTCTTGGAAAAACCAGTTGTTAGTCGTTTTTTCTTTGACCATCTTTTTCTTTAGGAAGGCGTTTACACTGTGAAAACCATCAGTGTTTACAAGAGTTGACAGGGGGGTTTCGTGTAACTCTGTCAACTTCCCATTCAAAGAATTTGCCATTTGTAGAAACCACATTCGTGAAAATTGAACCTCTTGAGTTGTCTTAATTATTTTTTTTCTGAAAAACACGCTACACACATTGGATTGAATTTGAAATGCACTCAGTGATTCACTTGTGTCTTGATAGATTATTATTATTTTTTTTAAGGTTATGAATGATTTCCTCTGTACTTGCAGTATATTTCTAGTAGGGGAATGATGAAAACTTGTACGCACAGTCAATCTGGAATTCTTTTAGTTGATGCATTACATATGACTTTTATGTGTTGTACATGTGTGCGCTTTGCTGTACATCCCATTTACAGCAAAACATCCTGCTGTATGTGTACCAATAGTGATCTGACTAACTCTCTCGTCTCCCATATAGACCACAATGTACTGTAGACCTTGCTTGTGCACCTTTGTGTTGTATTGGCACCGTCACAGTGTTTGTAAATCTGCCTAACTCAACAGTTGCCTAACTGTTCACCTAAGTTGCTCTGAGGCATTTCAGTATACATGAAGCATGTAGGTAGGAAACAAGTATTGAGTTAGTTGGCTGTCAAGGAATGGTTTCGTCTTCTATTCTCAAGCAAGGTACATTCTAAACATTATCCAGCACATACATTTACCCCTCTCTAAAAATGGACTGCACACAATCTGTCAAGACAAACTCCACCTATTCTAATTTGTAAAAAAAAAACTTCACAATTTCTGTTTCTCAAAATCCATACAGTGGAATATTTGAAGCTTTTTGACAAAGCTCTGTTCGTGGGACTTTTACGGTACTTTATTTTTTAGATTTGCCTGCCAGATATTAAAATATCTCCTATCCTAGGATTTTTTTCAGTGGGTGTCAGGTGTTTTCTCCCTTCACTATTTCCTTCACATTTAACTACAAGTGTCTTTCCAGACATCTAGTATAACACCCATATGACCTCCCCCCACCAATTCCTAACTCCACCCCCACCAATTCCAAACTCCACCCCCCTTCCCAGAATTTGGCCTTTTTTTAAGAAACAAAGATACCAGCACCTCACAGTTGCTACTAATACCCCTGCTTTTGACACTATTTACCAGTAGGATGCCGTACCTTGGACCCATAATTGCCCAGATGGGTGTCTGAAGCCAGCTAACTGGCTACTCAGAAGAGACTCACATCCCAGTCAGGATGGAATCTCCAAGATCAATACCTCCGCGGGTGACTAGCTCCCGCAAGAAAGGATGATTGTGGCGTGTCATTGTGTTGGCTCCCATCAGAGGACCATCAGTCAGGCTCTTATCTCACCCTAGCATCCGGTCTCTTTTACCTCCCCTGTCTCTCTCATTGTTGGCTGCTATTGTCAACAGCGTCGGCTCCTCTCATAAGCAGTTCAAGTGTAGCCAGTGGGACTGGTGTGGGAGCTGATGGATGGCAGGGAAACAAGAGGAATTAAGGAGGAGAAGAGGCTGGGGGCAGCACACCTGATAGTCCTAGCTATGGGTTCCCTACTGTCAGTCACCATTTAGGGGGCTATTATAATGGGCTTGTGGTTTTGTTAATCCTGGGCTAATCTGTGGCATGATAGGACCAACAGAAGCCACAGTGTGTTTGCAAGGGGTGTTGACACTGACACCTGGCCACAATAAACCATTGTTGTTTAATGAGCCTAACCCATTGTTTCTTGTCACAATATTGATTCACTCTGTGTGCATTGGGTGTCATTACAAACAATGCTTGATTTGGGGTTTTGTTACATTATACAATATGGAGGGTGATGTTTACGTTGTCAGTCACACCAGAAGACAGTGACACCCCAGCTCGTTGAATCTATCAGTCAACTTGCCTCATTGTTTCAGTTGTTTTACAAGTGTCAGTTTGGTTAACTGGCAGATAATGAAGCAGGAATTAGCTGGAAGAGCAGGTGTGTTCATTGCACCAACTTTCCAGCAAGTTTGTGGCTTTCTTGGCTATCCCAACACCTATAGACTCTGTATCAACAGTAGATGACGTTTTGTGAACATTCGTTTGAGCTTCAGTGCCCGGGAGAGACACAAAGTGTGGAGGATGAATTATAAACCTATGGCATTTTCATGTGAGTGTCAGAATCGGGCACGAGTCCCTCCCTGTGGTCTCCCCCAACTCTCTCCATGTAACCATTGAGGGGGTACCTGTGCTTTTGCTATGACGGCCACCAGGAGTTTGCCAATCTTTGGATGTCATAGTCTACAACTGTGACAGGTTTTATCCAGTTTGTATGATTGGAGGTTGCAAAAAAGGCTCTTTTACTCAAAACTTCCAAGTACGTGTAGGCCTATTGAAATGTTTCATCATGTACCGGTATCTGCATCTCATGTTGTCTCTCTTGGCAATTGCGTACCTTGCATGTACCTATAGGCTACACATGTATATCATAGCATGTATACATGCATACAGTATTCCAATTAAACATTTGAAAATGAGACACTTTTTGGGGATTGATTTTTTTCTCTCAATAAAACAGCACAGTTGTGTTCCTCTCCCCCCCCCCCTCCCCCCCCCCCAAAAAAAAAATGGCACCAAGTTTGGTCTTGCAAGACTATTGTGTTGTTACACTTGCATCCAAACTGCCAGCTAAGAACATACATGAATCGGTACATGTATACTCTGATTTCACATACGTGTAAAACACACTTTACATACTTTGGCCATAAAGAAAGTGCCCTTTTTGCACCTGAAGGTATGAATTACCCAAATATCCAATAAACCCCACCCAACACGTGGGTGATGCATCCAACCCGAGCGATTGAAAATGTCTTCTCCCCCCCCCCCCCCCCCCACCAATTGCCGGGGCATAATGCCTTGCCCGGGAAAAGCGTTCCTTAACAAGATCAAATTAATTCAAGTTGTGGGTAATATCTTCCCCCTTTTTCGCTACAATCCTCGGGGCAGTGGTTTTGATTGGATTATATCAGCGTTGGGAGCTCAGTAATATCCGACAGCCCCGTGATTAGGCTAAAAAAAAAAGTAAACCAATTGGTTGGAATGGTTTGTGTGGCCGCCGAAGATTGTACGGACATTGGTTTGATGTGAAACTCAATTCGGCTAACTAGATTTGGGGGGGGGGGGGGGTCTCAAAACGGGTCAGAGAGGCAACAGATTTATGCGGACAACAACTTGCCAAGGAAGGCTTGTGCCATACAAGGGAAAGACACTGCTAAAAGTTCAGGCCAGGGCAAAAGCTAACGCTTCGGTTCACCGTTTATAGGTTGGTCGCATAGTCCCTGCAAAAGGGCATGGAAGCTTCAAGCTGACTTTCCATGTTAAATGCATATATTTTCAGTCAGTTTATCTGTTGCCTATAAAGTAAGCCTACTGATAAGAAAATGTTAAAAGGTTTATCATCAGAGTCAGCTACACATGCACCTAGCACAATCATTTTCAACTTAGAATGAACTTACATGTATGGTGCAGTCAAAACTGACTGAGCTGATTTGTTTTAGTAAAAAAAAATGTGGAACCTCATCTGATGTCGGACCATAAATTCATCGTCTGCCATTGACTCTAATCACTTCTGTACTGGGGGATCTCTGTATCATGCCCCCCCCCCCCCCCCCATCAGCCCTCCTTCCCTCTCTCCCTGCTCATTTTGGCTCGATTCGGTCCTCGGATGCGCTTGATTGAAAAGAAATCTGGTGTGACTCCCCAGCTGTATGTGTCTCAGCTTGGATGTCTGCGTGCATGATTTAGCAGCATCCAGTCCGCATAGTGCGCACAGCCAACGATATAGTCGGGCTTCCACACACCCCTGTCCACCTTTATCTTTCATGCACTAGATGCACTCTTTCAGGCTTTGACCGAAACTCCAAAAAAGAGGGAACTATGTGTCCCCCTGGAGATTCAACCAGCTCCTCGGAGGGTATCACCAACGGAGCGTGCGCCTATCGGAGGTGATATTTATACTCCCAAAGGCAGATGTAAGTGCAAGATGTCATTAGGCTGGAGTAATCAGGTAGAAAGTGAGGCTAGTGAGTAGGGGGGGGGGGTTGTGATCAGGGTACAGTAACCTGCAAGTTGTGCAAGTTGAACTGAGGTATCCCAGGGTTGACTGCTTCTGAGTCGGTATGCAAAAGGGCTTGCTTTTTTAGATGTCACAAAATCCTGCAGTAGATATTCGGACATCCACACGTACACATGGGACTTGCATGCGATTTTTGGATTGTAAAGTTGGTTCTGTTTTTTCGATTGGAAATCTGAACTTTTGTCAAGTGGTTGCGCAGTCCCCAATATTGTTAAGGAAATTGTGGAGATTAATGTACATGTATTGAAAAATCTTTTGTTTAAAAATTCTCTAATCTTAAAACAAGTACATGTATGTATCTAGGATGTTCAGGATTGCTTGGGAAGTCATGTTCTTATTCAACGATGTAAAAAAGTGAGAACAAGAAAAAAAAATACTAAATAGGCCTAAAGGATTTGATTCAGTACAATACACTTTAGGAAGTAAGACCAAAAAATAACCAGCAACAGCAACATATGGATAAATGTTAAATTCAAGTAATGTTATCTGGCCAAAGTGGAAATAACATTTTTCTCCTACAACTTAGTACCTAAACCGAAGTACCGGTAGCTTCTATAATTTTGTGTGAAATCAGTATCTGTTGTCTCTTAAAAAGGTCTTTTGAATTCCAGTAGACATACATTCACTCATTCATTAGTAGAGTATTCAATTAAAGAAAACAAGAGTTTTTTTCTCTTTGATTCAAATTTTAGCAGGACAATGTAGAAGTCGTCACTAAATCCTTGCGCTCGATGGCTGCTTGGCAGAACTTGTCTAGGGTCAAGCTCGTCTGTGAGAGTACATGTTCTTGCTGTTGTGAAGTCTGACAACCCAATGCAGGTCACTTGAAGGGGCACCTTCTTTAAAAAGAAAAATGACTAAATGTAAGTTTGAAGTTAAATTCCATATTTCACCTCAACTATAAATTGATGGACACTGTGGAATGCAAGCTGCACTGATTGTTGACAGTATTTTAATCCTGTACCCTCTTTTAACATGACCGAACTGGACATATTTCAACACGTGCCTTGATCCCTTTTGTCAATTAGGGCTCAGCTCTGGCTGAAATTCCAACTTCCTGAATGCGGCTGGAATTGCGTTAGAATAATTAGAATGATAGCGCGGTCCTTATAAACTGCGTTAGATGTTTGACGGAAACAGGGCGTGTGAAGTACAGACTAGCCGGCTCTGGTTGGGATTAGTGCCTGGGTCACACTTTCCCTTATCGGCGCTCGTCAGTGACTGAGAAAGTTGTGTAAAGATGCGCTCGTGGGATGTCAGAGTGTTCCGGGGTGGGCGGAGCCTCGGAATGTTATTGAGTGGGGGTGGGGGGAGAATCAAATAAAGTGCAATGCACTTTGGATACTTGTTGGTTTATTGTGAGAAATGTAGTGCATCGGTACGTGTAAATTCAGTTGGCACAGGCACATTTCAAAACACACACACACACACAAACTTGAATACAGCAGACTTGTTTGTTTCAAAATATACCGAATATGTCATTTACAATTTTTTGGCAAATATGGCAATAAAAAGGTTTGAGATCGGCAATTAAAAAACCAATGTAGGTCAGTTTACCGTAAACACATAATTTGGGGGGGGGGGGGCCTGAGATTTTGGCTCTGAAAATGCCAGTAAACATATCTCAAATTTTGACGCAAATATTAGTATTTTGCATCAAACTAGGTGAGTTATTTGGTTTATTTCGTCTCTGAAAATGTATGTGATTGATAAAAAAAAAAAGAGATCTTGAAAGGATTCAACTACAACACTGATATGATACCAGTACTGTTGCAAGAGACGAAGCTGTGAGATGCCTCTGTTAGCACTTCTCAAGTCTGTAACCTCAGTGATTACACCCGACATTGCTGTCAGGACCAAGTAAGCTGGCCTGGGGTTACAGCTACCGGCTTGCCGCCAGCCCTATCCCTTATAACCGGTATCACTGGAGATTGTGGGATTTAAGAGGATTTCTGGCCATCATTTCTCATGAGGACGGCCCGTTAATCATTCAACATCTGCTGCTGAAAATTGCCTGTGATGTGTAGTTCAAAGAAAACGATTCCATCTCTATTGAGGGAATAATTCAGAACTTCAAAGACGGGATGTTCAAATATAATGTACAGTACATGCAGGTCTTCAAAATTCCTTCTGATCCGAGAAAAATTGTATTTATTTCTGTTAATGAAACCAAGCATTCATCAAAAGCACCTTAGGCACTGTACAGCTTGCAGACCTGAAGAAACCTGTGGAGAGAAGACAATGAGAAGAAAATACAGTTTTAGAGGTGGGAGGAAAACCCCAGAAGAATATTCCTGGGTAACCCGTGGAACCAGATGTGAGGTGGAAGACACAGATAAGGAGCACTGTGTCAACCTGACTCCCCAGACAAATGTTCTTGCCATAAACTCTAAGATCGAACTTTCCAAAATTCGGGACAAGCAATCATTTCAAAAGAACCAAAACTTGAAGATTACTTCACAAATCATTAAAAAGCTAGCATAGGACAGGTCACAAATAAGCAAAATTTAATAGAGGACAGGTCGCAATTTAGCAAAATATATCATAGGATAGGTCATATAAGTCAGCAAAATATATCATAGGACAGGTCATAAGTTAGCAAAATATAGCACAGGACAGGTCACAATTTAGCAAAATGTCATAGGACAGGTCATAAGTCAGCAAAATATAGCACAGGACAGGTCACAATTTAGCAAAATATAGCACAGGACAGGTCACAATTTAGCAAAATATAGCACAGGACAGGTCGCAATTTAGCCAAATATAGACAAATATAGTATAGGATAGGTCACAGTTCAAGATTTAGAAGTAAGCATGGATGAACACTGACAGGCTCTTCATCTTTCTCATATTTGACTGCCAAGCATTTGCAAATGTAACATTGAGTGGATAGCTTCATATATTGCTAAAGCCTCAACCCATTCTGTAATGTACGAGCAGTTTAGAGTAAAATTTTGATCGTGTACAAAAATGTATTAAACTCGTTCTCATTGTTAATTGCCACATTAGGGCTATTGCACTGTCTTCACACTTGAAAACCCATCCCCGAAGCGGGGGAAAGATACTTCCTATAAACGTGAGGTTGTCACAAAGCCTTGAAACACGTGTCAGAAGCCCTGGGCTCGACTGGCCAGCAGGGAAAGTAATCCAAAACCAGCCTACTTGATTAAAAAATTGAGTAGCGACAGAGAGAGAGAGATCTAAACATGGGGCCCAGCGCGTCACTGGCTGGTCAGGTTCCCCCAATGGCAGTAATAGCCCCTCACCGCTGCAAATTGTGTCGGCAAACAAGGGATGTGTCTGGAATTAATGATTAAACAATGCTTAAATGAGTCATTGAATAAATGATTGGGGCCGATCAATCATTCAGAAGTCGTCCGGCTTATGGACTCTCTCTCACTCTCCATCTCCCGGTCTGGTATACCCCGTTGGGAGGTGTGTTACAGTCAGAGCTGACGTGCCAGGCTTGGGCTGAAAGGGAAACTCACACTGTATTACACCGTGTTATCGTGTAGACTAGCTCACCGAGGTGAAGCCCCGGCAAAAATCTGAAACCCTATCTTCAACTTGTCAGGGCCCATGTGTTATTATTAAGCTGGAAGACAGTCACTTGCATACAGATTAAGTCTGAAGGCGCGACTCGGAATACGTGAGTCGCTGAATCATTTGAGTCAAACACGTTGGTGTGAAATGCCATAATGATCGCCGCTTGTGTCATTACAAACAAAAAATGTTTCGTAAAGTCGTTTCCCCTGAATATATTTGAGAATGATGAATTTTTAAAAGCTAAAGAAATTGTACTGAAAGCTCCACATTTGCAGGGGCGGATCTGGCTTTCAGGAAAGGGGGAAGATATGAAGTGGGGGGGGGGATGGTTATGCCCTGCTAGGGGGTCTGGGGAAAGCACGGTGGAAAATTTGAAATCTAAGATGCTTTCTCCAGCATTCTAAGGCAATTTGGGAATAAATTAGCATTGTATTTATTAATTTTTGGTTCCATTTTACTTGTATTATAAAATTAGTCAGCGGCTGAACAGGGGGTTGCAACCTCCACCCCCCCTCCCAGATCCGCCACTGATTTGCATGTGCATATGAATATACCCAGACTAGAGACATTTTTAAAGACAGTCCAGAATCCTCATAAATCCATCATTGTGTAGGAAACTGATTCTTCAACTTTCAAATGTCTTCCATCTCATGATAATCGACTTGGCTCTAACCTTCCTCAGTCCTGCAACGTCCTCCAAACCTCCATTGTGGACGTTCAAGGATTTTGACTAACGTCTGACAATTTTCTAGAAGACAGTGAAAGTTACCCACTTCACAAAGTCCTTGCCAGGACTATTCCTCCGTTATAAGTTGATGATATAATTATAGTTGTTTCTTGTGAAAAAAAGATACCTCACTGAAAAGTAGAAGGTTTCCCCGTGTTTTGCAATTTACATTGAACACGTATTGATTACTATGACCGCTCGGTGTAAAGTTAGTAGTCTCAAAAAATAACACAGAGTATACATGTATAGTACATGCATTTCGTTTGCATATTTACACGTGTGTAACACTTCGGAGGGATGCCTTCCCAACACTACACTGTGTACATAACACCGGGCAGTACACCGTTACTGCATTGATCAGGAATCCCAAACTAGCTTCTCTACAACTCCTTGATCGTAACCGAGTCTTTGACCGAGCCCTTCCCCCGCAGTGCCAATGCAGACATGTTTTGGTATTCCGGTCGTGCGCAAACATCACACGTCAGCGTACCCCAACCACCTGAGTCCTTCCTTGACAAGGTTGGGGGGGGGGGGGGGAGCGGGGACTTTGATGTGCATACTGCATAGATCTATGCTGTTGTCACCCTAGCGTATACATAAGAAATACTCCAAACTCAACACTTAGATTCGTACTAAATAGCATCTTTTCGGCCCCAGAAATCCAATGTTTTGTGCTGAAGGATTCTTGTACTTAAGATGGTAGTAATGAATATGGGTCACAGATAATGTTATGAAGTTAGTTGCACATTTGCTATTTCTTCTATGGATTCATACTTGGACATGGCCGAAGTCACCTCTGTGCACACTACCAAAGGTAGCCCTGGCTAATCATTTAGCATTTTGGAGGAAAACAGACGGAATTTGAAAAGATCCCCTTCTTAAAAGAAATTTTGCTTCTACAGCAAGCTGTATACATGCATTAATTGTTCATTGGGACCTGAAACGAAACTTCATACATTAAAACAAATTGAAAAAGAAAAAAAAAGGAAGAGGATGTACATGTATTAAACTTCTTAATTTCAAACTCTGGCAGAACTTTGGATGTTTCAATCGTTTGAATATTTTTGGGGGCAGAATTGATAACACTCTATTAAGCTGTTTTTGTTTGTGTGTGACACCGCTGTGAACTACGCAATACGTCATATTGGGATTCTCCCCCTTCCATTCTTCTAATCTTTAAGCAGGATTCAAAATTTGGAAAGTAGAGTTTGGAACAAAATTATTGGCTCTGTATTACATAGGTTTAAAAATTTGATGGTGCTCCATTTTCCAGAACACAGCACTCTCACACAAAAAAACCTTCATCACAAATTTTTCCATTTTGATGCGCCTGCGATATTTTTACGTAATTTTTTGTGCATATTATTTCTTTAAGGAAATAGTGTCCTATAATCAAAATTACCTGTGTGTGACACTGAAGTGGAATAAAATTTGATTAAAGTAGAACTGTGAATAATTTCCAACTTTTTTTTAATAACACTATTAAAGATTAAAACAGTTTCTATTTAAGACGATTACTTTAATCAGATCTTTTTTTTTTTGCTTGGGCTAATATTTTCCAATCTGAGCACCTGAGATCCTCGTGTGACT